TATTTTAATATAATGTTTTTTTTGTAATTGGCCAGTTATTATGGTATGTGCAATTTTCACAGAATACAAGATGAAGAAAGTCATTAATTTGCTTTCCTTCTAGCTCCTTTGGTTACTTGTCCTTCATATATTAACTACCTTCTTATTTTAATATAATGTTTTTTTTGTAATTGGCCAGTTATTATGGTATGTGCAATTTTCACAGAATACAAGATGAAGAAAGTCATTAATTTGCTTTCCTTCTAGCTCCTTTGGTTACTTGTCCTTCATATATTAACTACCTTCTTATTTTAATATAATGTTTTTTTTGTAATTGGCCAGTTATTATGGTATGTGCAATTTTCACAGAATACAAGATGAAGAAAGTCATTAATTTGCTTTCCTTCTAGCTCCTTTGGTTAGTTGTCCTTCATATATTAACTACCTTCTTATTTTAATATAATGTTTTTTTTGTAATTCGCCAGTTATTATGGTATGTGCAATTTTCACGGAATACAAGATGAAGAAAGTCATTAATTTGCTTTCCTTCTAGCTCCCTTTGTTACTTGTCCTTCTCTTGAGAGAACACCTGGTCTGCCTATGGTGGTATAAATCTGCACTTGGATGTAGAGAATAGTGTCTTCTAATGGTAGGTTAGGTGGTGCCTTGAGGTTACAATAATACAAATGAAAACACAGAGAATCTGCCACACAAACAAAATCAAATGTGGATAAGACAAGTCGTACATAAAGAGAAGCTACTAATATTGGCATTAAAAAAGCCTATTTGTCATAATATATGTTAGGAGAAGAAAATATTTTGACTGAAGGCTCTAATCCCAATTTCTGGCAAACAAAGTCATCAAGTCATGAAAGAAGGCAGAACACATATGAAAGCTTGAAGAATTTATCCAATTATCCTGACAGCTCAACACATACAAAAACAAATATATAATTAAAAATTTATGAGCTACATTGAAATAGAGGTGTGTCCCATGAACTTCTCCAGAATGTTCAGGATAGACACATAATTTATTAGTTAAATGCAGAGTACTATGGACAAAAAAACTAGGATGAATTGGTGCTTGAGCAGAAAGAAGAAATGTCAGTAAATTCTAATGAACAAAATAAAAAACAAGGAAATGAGAAGGAACATTAAATTTTGGAATCACTATGAAAAAAATAAATAAATTAGAATATCAAAATGAAAAGAAAAACCAAAACATAACTCATGAAAGAGAAACATTGTCTGCTTTGTGCTAAGATAGAAAAATTCAGGTAGATACCAGAATTTTCAAGAGAAAAATTTGAAGAGACAAAGACAGTTTTGCAGAATACTGACTTAAATATGTAGAAGTTGATTGAATTAGGATTATCCAAATAGATAGTGTAGAGACATGAATAATCAGGCCAATTGACATATAAAGAAATTTTGAATATCATGCAGTAGTGACCACTGAATATGGGGAAAGAATGTAGAAAAATGAACGAAAATGTTAATTAAGCAGAGCAATCAGTTTTAGAAGTATGTTCTCATATTTGAATAATTATTCTTATAGCTATAGCTACAAAAGTATCTGAGATGTTACCCTGTTGTCATATGAAAATTTCTTTATCATACTTGATGGTTTTTATAAACATTATGGCCCGAGGGTAATAGTCTTGTATATTAATCTTGTCCTTTGTATATGAGTAAGATGTAATACTTTTATTAAAGTTATTTACAACTTTATGGTCAGAAGTGTCAACAATAATTCTGTAGAGGTTATAAAAACTTTGTTTCATAATTCTTAATTCTTGTTCATTGATTTTTATTATTATAGGTATTTTATATGAACATGGTCTTCTCCCCTTTTTAACTAACTTTGAAACTGATACACTTTAAATTTATATTTTTCTAGATCATTGATTACATTCCTAAAGTATTTCCTTACGAATTGTTTAATGTGATTCAACTTGATTTTAGGACCTTTGCAAAATATGGAACTTTTACTTATTAATTGCCTTAAGCTATCATTATTTTACTGTTCAAACTGCAAGTAACGAGCAGTAATGTAGTGCTAAATAATGACTTTTCTTCCCCCTTCCCTCTGACAGAGAAGCTAATCATCAACCTCATTATTCAAAATTTTTAACATCTTTATTAATTCAGATAATCATTGCTTGAGGTATTTTACTGAAATGCAACAGTGCATGCAAGGTAAGAGAGCATTCAGGAAATGATAAACCTATGTTTTATATAAAGTGTTCATGTGTGAATGTAAAAATAAGCAACACGGATGTCAGGATTTTATATAGGGCTGGGATTGTGTTTTTACAGTAGGTGTCTGTGATTTCTTGACCATAAATTTCAACAATAAATGGACAGTGCACAATCCACTTGTTTTAAAATAATACATATTCAAACATAGTCAAAAATATGTACACAAATTTGTTATGCTATTGTTTATCAAAGTTGAATCTAGGGTTTTAAATAATTCTCTTTCATGTCAAAAGTCCATACAGCTGGTTCTGTTACTTTAGAACCAAATTGACAAGATGAGTTATTCTTCTCTATCTCTGGTGTTACAATACAAGCTGTGAAACTCTCATTTTATAAATCGCCCATTATGGCTAAACTGACAATCACACAGTCTAACTTCACTTTCATTAACTTACTTAACTTCCTGTATCTACATGTATTTATGACACAGGACAGAAAAATCTACAAACATCTACCCCATAAAGTAACCACAATATTACACATAATGTGAAAACTTAGAAGCTTTGAGTACGATAATGTCAACAATATTACAAAAGTCTACTACAACAATTAAACTGCATACAAAACACTCAGGTTTACTTAACAAAACTTGTTATAAAAACTAAATAATTATTAAATATTAGATGACTAAATAAACTAAATAATAACTCTTAAACTGAACAGACTTATACATACAGCAACAGAAAAAGACCACCACTAGTAATGAAATGTTTTATTGATAAATATTTAAAATGTAAAAATTCAGAGTAACAATTAAATGACAGAGACTATAAAGGTTGGTAAGTCTGAATTTAAAAACTGATCTAAATCTGGTAATTAAGACATAAGAAAATTAGTTTTATCACACAATGTTTTTGAAATTGTTCCCAATTGCTTAGTAAAAACTGATAAATAGAGCATATTTTGTAGTAAAGAAAACATATTTGTACATCAGTTGAAAAAAATGAAGTAATTAATATTTAAACTATAGACTGGAACAAAACATTATGATATCTATGGATGAAATCGTAGAATTCCATATGAATCTATAAAGAACACCTTATATGACTGTTCTTCGTGTCAGTGTTTTACAATACATTTTCTTTTTCCCATTACAAATACCTTATTTTAGAACTATACCTATAATGATTAAATTGAATTCTGTGTAATTCTACAATTTTAAAGATAGTATTCTATAAATTTATACTTTATAATATAAATTCTAACCAGTAATGTTCTTTATGTACCTTTTGTTTTTGAATCTTGTTCGTTTCTGTAACAATCTTTAGCTTTTCTAAATGCCAGTTCAGCTCCCACGTTTTCATCTATTACCTCATAGTAAAGCCCTAATAAAAATATAGGATGCACCTGTTAGTAGATATACCCTGAGAACAAAATGTAAATATTTGGTCATTAAATGTGTAATTCATTAACAATCCTAGAGCAAAATATGTTACTTACAGTGCAATATAAAATTTAAATAATTTCATCTCCAAAAAAAATCTAAAGGAACAGTATAGGATGTATATATATAAAATACAAGAATCAATTTGCCTATAACAAAATCTACAACACAGACAAAAATATGATTTACAACTATATACACAAGTTAGACATAGGATGTTAACAATTCTATTTCACTCCTTAACCTTAGAAACACCTAAAACATTACACAAATGTCTAGGCTGTCACAGGATGATAGTTTTTATTACCACTGTATGATTGATTTCAGCCATGCTACAGAAACACCTAAAACATTACACAAATGTCTAGGCTGTCTCCCTTAACAGAAATCTTTAAGCCATAGTTTACGAGATAGTACCAAGCTCGGTTTTAAGCATACGATTGGCAATCACAGTGATGGCTGATGGGAAGTGTCAAATTATAGACAATGCTGCATAATTGCAAATTTTATAGATAGAGTAGCCATCCGTGAAACTGACTATATGGAGTGGCAAAAATGATAGAGATTCTAGGCGAAAGTGAGGCAGAAATTTTGTAGCTTTATATTTTATTTAGAAAATATTTAGTTTCAGATAAAGTATGCAGTAGCCCAGAATTTAGGGTTGCAGAAGTTTCATGACCCAAACTCCATCAGGTATATTAATATAATTAATTCATAATTGTTAAATAACACATTTTCAACCTTGTAGATGTGCAGAATGACACTCTAAGAGGAAATCTGGCCAGCTGTACCAAAACCATGACTGGCCTTACTATGACCAGCAGAGAGGAGAAGGATGAAATATAACAACTATAAGAAATATTAAAAAATGTTTATTTGTATACATATCCTATTATATTACAACATATTGTCTTATATTTGCATTAAATATATATGTATGCATCTATACAACCTCAAAATTTCATATGGTTATCTATGTATACAGCTTTACAACTTAAAAAACTGTTACGTATCTGCTCGTTTGTTAATTTCCGGTATGAATTCTTTCTGAGGAACTTCAGTGCTACAAGTTCTTTCTTAATTAAACCAGTTTATTTTTTCCTGGATACAACTTTGTAATACACAGAATTTCCAATCAGTACGTTAAACTTAACTTCTTTTATAACACACGCTATAAATCACAGTGATTCACACACTTTATTTACAGTGCCTACTGTTTGCTTGACTCAATTATCTATATCTTCGATCTATTTGCATATATATCTATCTATCTACGTCATTGTGTTGGTTTTTCTCGCCACATTTATATACTAAAAAAGAGGGTGCCTTGAACAAACTAGAGTTGCCAGGAAAATTCATGATCCTTCCAGAAACTCCAGTGCGCATGCTCCCAGCATTGCTTGACTTCCGCTGTCGTAACAAAACTATAAAGTCTGCATGTATATATATAGATATAAATACTAGCCAAAATGCATTGGTATTGTACAGATTTATGTCCATCATGAACATAAAAAACTAACGAAACAAAAAAATAACATCAACACTACGTCTAAAACCTTAAGCTTGTTTGTTTGCTTTTTGGTGGTTGCATTTTCACATTAAGCTACCTATCTTGTTTCTGTAATTTTTGAAGATAACTATTCCCCCCTTTTCAAATTAACAATTTTTAACAATATTGTCGTATAATGTGTTCATCAGAAGTGGACAGAAAGTGTGATGCACAATAAGAACAATCTTTATTAATATCACAAACACGGTGCATACTTCCATTGGATGCTGGACTATCACATTTACTGGAGTTGTGAATTGCTCAGGCTGGCTATACTCCCTCATGAACTATATCCAAACTGATAAATTCACTCAAGAAGATGTTCCAAACTGTCTAAACCTTGTATTACATAACTGTATGAGCAATGGCATACTTACCCAGAGCAACATACAGAAGGGTGTAACCTAAGTATACCTTTTGACCTATTACTGAAGGACATTGCTGTCGACATTCTTGCACAACATACAGCATTTCACCATGAATAGAACAGGTGTGACATCAACAGTATGATAAAGAAACAAAAGCAGTTATAGCAAAATCAATCTTGATCACATGTTATGTGAAACTTGCTTAGATCTAGAATATATGAAAAATTTTGAAAAATGCATGGTATGCCTGAATACCACTCACCATTAACTGTTGGTACACATTTGATAAAAATGATTGCAACTTCTCTTCCAAAGTGAACTCAAGAATGGTGTTTCCAGGACTCTCCTTTACACCCCTCAAGTACCTTTTCAAATTATCTCACACCAGTTAAATTTAGGTTAGGTACTGGGCTGCATGGTCTAAGCTGTTTTTCTATCCTGATTTTGTAATTCAAGGTAACACATATCATGCTCTGCGGTATTAAGCAGTTTGCTGTCTGTGAAATCCAGCAACATGATGTTTCTTTCACATGTTGAATCTATTGACCTGTACTTCTAATCTCTCATTATATTTTGAATGAAAAATTTAAAGTCAGATTTATGACTTTGTTTCACCAATCGTATCATAGTTTGCATGAGCTAAGGAGTATTAATTTTGGACACCTGCATTGATAGTCTCCATTACCACGTCCACTGAGCTTTCACCCATCCAGCACATTATACAGATTAGATTTATGTATAAGCTGAAATGTGTTACATTAAAAGTACAAATCCTGCATCTAATAAACATTTCTTTTTGAAGGAAAATTCATAAGCTCCTTTTTTCATAGAATTTTGACCATTTGAGTTTCTGTGGCATTGTAACATGGGGTTTAGATAAAAAGCTGGGAAGGTGCAGGTCCATTATCTCTCAATGTACAGGCTTGGTCATTATGATGAAACTTATAACCAGCAATCAAGAAACTACATGTACTATAAATCTAAATGTTCTAAGTTTATCATCAATATATCTGGAAAGTTGTAATGAAAACTACAAATATGTTGTACATGTAGATGGCTTTTGCCACTGATCTTTGTGTCGTTGGATTCTCACCTGTTACAAGTTGCTATATGTTGCTTACCATGGCTGGGATACAACTTGTTTCAGGTCTGATTCTGATGGTCCTAGTGCCACAAGTTGATCCATATTCCTTTGTTTTCCAATACTATTAAATACAAAGGATATCCCCATATTGGAAGGTCATATCCTTGATCTGAATACACCTTTATGAATCAGAAAGGGCTGTTACGTACCCTCCTTAAAAGTGATCAATTTACAGTAGGATCACCCTACCTATGAAATGCCAAACAGTGTAAACACAGAGTTCTTATATATGCTATGCCACTGCAACTTTATATCAACTGTGGTTTCCACATTACATGCTGATTTGCATGTCTAAGAATATTTTAATATAACATATTTAAACCAACCACAGTACATCATCTATAAAATAATGCTTGGAGATGGCTTGAATGGGTAATGAAGAAAAAGTTTAATATAAGTTTAACATAACAGCAAATGTACAACATTTAAACAAGGTTTTGTCATCATCAGGTAGCAGGTACCTTGTTGAAATGTTGTAAATTTGCTGTTATGTTACACTTATATTAAAGTTTTACTTCATTACCCATTCAAGCCGTCTCCAAGCATTATTAGTCTTAACACTGTTCCTCGATTCACCTATAAAAGCTCATCCAAAAAATAACTTTTAAAAATTAATTATCAACCATTCACTAATTATATAATTACACATACCCAGTACAAACCAAGGAAGAATCTCATCCTCATGAGCTGTAGTAACATAAAGCAGAATAATCTCTGCTAACTTGTAATTTTCTCGAATAACACAAAGCATTCCACTCAACAGCAAACTGGAAAATTCAATAACCAATCATTATTTTGTATTCATCACTTACTTTGAACCTTAAATATTTTAGTTTCAATTATCTAGTTATTAATCAAAATATTTTTCCATATGAATTTTAATATTAAAGAAGATTATTTTCAAGATCTAAATAATATTCCATCCGTACAGATTCCTAACAAAGTAAGATAAGAAAATGAGTAGCTTTTAACAATTAGCATCCATTTCTCCAGGTTATCATTATTATCAAGAAATAGAATGTAATTATTACTTTTCAAGTTATGTTTAATGAAAAGTTAGATATTTTACAATCAAATTTTATACAAACAGGGATAAATATAATGGTGTTTGTTTTTTATTAGTAAATGAAGTATCAAAAGATTTGACAAAGAGCTTGTTCATATAAATTACATAAAAAGTTATACCAAATACAAGAGATAAAGAATATAATAATGAATAGAACTAATGTATTTGATATGAATTGAGAATGACACATTTATTTACTTCCTTTATTTTCATTTGTCTTGTAGCATATCCATTCATGGCAAACAAGTTGATTACTGGTAAATCTTAAAGAACCTGGTAAAAAACCTTCAGTGCAATTTTTAAAAACTTAATATATTATACATTAGTAGATTAACATTATTGTCAATGAGAACCTTTCAGATTCTAGCTCTATTCCATTATTAGCAGATTTATTTTTGTTTTTCATAAAACTTGAACATATGCAAATACCATTGGATTATGTTCTGTACATCTTATAAGTTACATATCTATAAACTTAATTTCAGCATACTTTTCATATTACCTTTTCATATGCTCTTGGTCAATTGCTAATGCCTCTTTGAAACATTCTTCTGCCTGCATTAAATAAAAAGTATAACAACTTACTAAAATTTGTATATATAAAGGAAATTATGTTTCATTTAATGAACTCAGTATTATCAAATATACAAGATGACAAGTTAGCTATGGGTCCCCCCTTTCCTTTCATAGATAATTTAGCGAAGAAATTGTTTAGTGATGAAAATAATACAAAACATGTTAAATATTCGTATAGATATGTTGATTATATGATTTGTCTCTGGAAAGGATCTAAACATCAACTTGACAATTTTGTAACTTTTCTAAATTCACAAAACAGGTTTTTTAAATTTACTATGGAATTTGGTGAAAATGGAAACATCAAGTTTTTAGACTTAAATATTGACATAAATAACATCATACATTCCTTCAAAATCTTCAGAAAACCAACTTATAGTGTCACCATCATGCATG